CTCAGGCTGGTTTCAAACTCCTGAGCTCAAACAATCCGCCCGCCTCGGCCTCCCAGAGTGCTAGGATTATAGGCGTGAGCCACCGCGCCCGGCCCGTTCACAGCATCTTTAACAGAAATAGATTCCACTTCAAAAAACCACTTTTCTTTGCTTATCCATAAGAAACAACTCTTTATTCATTGAAGTTCCAGCCTGAGACTGCAGCAATTTAATCACATCTTCAAGCTCCACTTCTAATTCTGATCCTCTTGCTGTTTCCACCACATCTGCAGAGGCTTCCTCCATTGAATTCTTTTTTTTTTTCTCACAGCAAGGCCTCCATTGAATTCTTGAAACCCTCAAAGTCATGCATGAGGGTTGGAGTCAACTTTTCCAAATTCCTGTTAATGTGGATCTTTTGACCTCCTTCCATTAATCACAAGTGTTCTTAATGGCATCTGGAATGGTGAATACTTTCCAGAAGGTTTTTTTTTTTTTTTTTAAGACAGAGTCTCACTGTGTTGCCCGGGCTAGAGTGCTGTGGCGTCATCCTAGCTCACAGCAACCTCAAACTCCTGGGCTCAGGCGATCCTCCTGCCTCAGCCTCCCGAGTGGCTGGGACTACAGGCATGCGCCACCATGCCCGGCTAATTTTTTCTATATATTTTTAGTTGTCCAATTAATTTCTTTCTAATTTTAGTATAGATGGGGTCTCGCTCTTGCTCAGGCTGGTTTCGAACTCCTGAGCTCAAACAATCCGCCCGCCTCGGCCTCCCAGAGAGCTAGGATTACAGGCGTGAGCCACCATGCCCAGCCTCCAGAAGGTTTTTAATTGACTTTGCCCAGATCCATCAAAGGAACCACTATCTATGGCAACTAAAGTCTTACAAAATGTGTTTCTTAAATAATAAGACTTGAAAGTTGAAATTACTCCTTGATCTATGGGTTGCAGAATGAATGTTATGTTAGCAGGCATGAAAACAACATTCATCTTCTTGTACATCTCCATCAGAGCTCTTGGGTGACCATGTGCATTGTCACTGAGCAATAATATTTTGAAACGAATCTTTTTTTCCTAAGCAGTAGGTCTCAACAGTGGGCTTAAAATATTTAGTAGCCCAGGCGAGGTGGCTCATGACTGTAATCCTAGCACTCTGGAGGCTGAGGCGGGAGGATCACTTGAGCCAGAAACTTGAGACCAGCCTGAGCAAGAGCAAGACCCCATCCCTATAAAAAATAGAAAAATTAGCCAGGCAAGGTGGTGTGCACTTATAGTCCCAGTTCCTCAGGATGCTGAGGCAGGAGGATCACTTGAACCCAGGAGGTTGAGGTTGCGGTGAGCTATGACGATGCCACTTTACTATAGCACAGAAGACAGAGCAAGTCCTTGTCTCAAAAAAATAACAAAAACAAACAAAAAATATTCAGTAGACCATGCTGTCTACTGAATGCACAGATGTGCTGTTATCCAGGGTTTCTTGTTCCATTTATAGAGCCCAGGTAGAGATTTATCATAATTCTTAAGGGTCCTAGGATTTTTGGAATGGTAAATGAGTATTGGCTTCAACTTAAAGTCATCAGCTGCATTAGTCCCTAGCAAGCGAGTCAGCCTGTCCTTTGAAGTTTTGAGGCCAGGTATTGACTTTTCCTCTCTAGCTATGAAAGTCCTAGGTGGAATCTTCTTCCATTAGAAGGCTGTTTCATCTACATTATTTAGTGTCATCACCTTCATCAATGGGGAGGATCTTCTGGTTAACTTGCTGCAGCTTCTACATCAGCGCTTACTGCTTCACCTTGCACTTTTATGTTATAGAGACAGCTTTTTTCCTTAAGCCTCATGAACCAACCTCTGCTAGCTTCAAACTTTGCTTCTGCAGCTTCCTCACCTCTCTCAGCCTTCATAGAATCGAAGAGAGGGCCATCCTCTTGATTAGGCTTTGGCTTAAGGGAATGTTGTAGCTGGTTTGAACTTCTGTCCAGACCACTAAAACTTTCCCACCATCAGCAATAAGACAGTTTTGCTTTCCTATCATCCATGTGTTCACTGCAGTGGCACTTTTAATTTCTTTTAAGGAATTTTCCTTTGCTTTCATAACTTGGCTGTTTGGTGCAAGAGTCCTAGCTTTTGGCTTATTCTGGCTTTTTTTTTTTTTTGGACAGTCTCACTGTGTTGCCCCGGCTAGAGTGTAGTGGGGTGTCATCTTAGCTCACTGCAACCTCAAACTCCTGGGCTCAAGCCATCCTCCTGCCTCAGATTCCCAAGTAACTGGAACAACAGGTGTGCGCCATGATGCCAGGCTGATTTTTTCTATTTTTGGTAGAGATGGGGTCTCACTCTTGCTCAGGCTGGTCTCAAACTCCTGAGCTCGAGCAATCCTCCTGCCTTGGCCTCCCAGAGTGCTAGGATTATATGTGTGAGCCACTGCACCTGGCCCTATTCTGGCTTTTGACATGCCTTCCTCATTATAAGCTTAATTATTTCTATTTTTTGATTTAAAGTGAGAGACATGTGACTCTTCCTTTTCACTTGAACACTTAGAGGCCATTGTAGGGTTATTAACTGGCTTAATTTCAATATTGTTGTGTCTCATGGAATAGGGAGGCCCAATGAGAAGAAGAGGGGAATAATGACTTGTTGGTGAAGCAGTCAGAGTATGTACAACATTTATCAATTAAGTTTGCCATCTTATATTTGGTGCAATTTGTGGTTCTCCAAAAAAATTGCAGTAGTAACATTAAAGATCACAGATCACCATAACAAATATCATAAGAATGAAAAAGTTGGAAATATTATGAGAATTACTGAAATGTGACAGAGACACAGAGTGAGCACATGCTGTTAGAAAACTGGTGGCAATAGAAATGTTCAACACAGGGTTACCACAGACCTTCAATTTGTAAAAAATGCAGTATCTGTGAAGCACAATAAAATGGAATGTGATAAAATAAGGTGTACCTCTGTAAGTACCAGCTAGGGCTTCTGAAGAGTCAGAATAACCACACAAAGAGGGAATATTATTTTTTTGGAACACAAACCTCTGAGGCATTAGTTGACTATACAGCTTCTTCCAGAATTAGAAGGTTTAAAAGAGAGCATAGGATACCAGGGGTGTATCCTATAATAAGTAGGAAGTAGGTAGAAGCTGTACTTTTTCTGTATATCTTAGGTTGTTGGGATACAAAAGAGATTGACTTGTTCTTCCCTGTCCTCCAGCTCCAAGAGCATCAAGAGGAAATTGAGGGGATGATGAATGCCCTCTTCAGGGGTGTCTTTGTACATCGGTACAGGTGAGTTAATGGGATTCTCTCACTGAAGCTGGTGTTTGGTTTTGGAGTCTGTGGAAGTGACAAGCGCCACCCCCCAACCCCAATTATTTGGTTAGTCCCAGAGCTAATGGAGCTGGAGCAAAAACTCTATCAATAAGTGTTTCAGATTAGTAGGTTTAGTTTATCCTTACCTATAAAGGCTCTGGTAAGCTCTTCTGGGAGAAAATAAGAGGATAAGGCATTGCTGTGTATTCTCTTCCTCCAGCTTTTCCCAAGATCTGCCCCTACAATCTCCCTCCCCTCACAATCTTTCTGGAGTTGGAGACTCGAGAGGGTAAGAGCAGAGAACCAAAAGGTGGAGCTTTCCTGTGGAGTGTATGCAGCTTGGCAGACCTTTTCCCAGTTCCGTGTGCAGGGCAGGGGAGTTTATACTGTTTAAAGAACTAGTAGAATTAGTTTAAAAGAGTTTCTGTAGTTGTTTCTCACTCTTACCTAGATTTCAACTTTTGCCTTTCCAGGACCTTTCGGCTGATTTAACCTTCTCTTGTTTTCGTTGTTGTTGTTGTTGCTTTTAGAGACAGGGTCTTGCTCTGTGGCCCAAGCTGAAGTACAGTAGTGCAATCACACCTTACTGTAGCCTCCAACTCCTGGCTTCAAGCAGTCCTCCTGCCTGGCTCATTTAACCTTTTTTTAAAGTAGAATTAAAACATACACACATTCTTGAGACAACGATTGTTAAAAAAATAAAATGAAAACACATACAGTTTGGCCAACAGTTAAATGAACTTTCAAAATCAATTTTTAAAAAGGGTGTGGAGAATAAGGTTGTACAAGGCTGGTTCAACTATTTTATAGGCTGGTTACAGATAGAAAACGTTTACTAACTGGGTGCGGTGGCACGCCTGTAGTCCCAGCTACTCGAGAGATTGAGGTGGGAGGATCCCTTGAGCCCAGGAGTTCAAGGTCAGCCTGGGCAACATAGACATACCATCTCATAAAGAAAGAAAATGTTTACTTTTATGTAATACTGGGAGGAGGAAATAAAAAGCATGGAACATGGCATTTCATCAATAAAATAAATGCTTCAGTGAGAGGGAGCTATAGCTGTCTGGTAGGATGGAAAGTGAGTTTGGAGAGAGGTTGATGAGTCACTTTGTCTCTCTGTGTGCAGGGATGTCCTTCCTGAGATCCGTGCTATCTGCATCGAGGAAATTGGGTGTTGGATGCAAAACTACAGTACCTCTTTCCTCACTGACAGCTATTTAAAATATATTGGCTGGACCCTGCATGATAAGGTGAGAGTTGAGTTCAGTCTCCTGTTCCCGTCATTTTCTCCCTGCCCTAGGACCTTCACATTTTCCTAATCCTGCCACTTAGGTATTTTACCTAATGAGCAGTGATCAACCCATCAAAGCACTGAACCTCAAAACTCGAGAGAAAGACATATTCAGGAGCTGAAATACCTCAAACCCTGAGATTGGAGGAGAAAGACTTTATCATGAAAGAAAGTTACTGATGAATTGGTAATAACAAGTGCTAGGTGGTAGCCTGTTCATCATGAGTGCTAAATTCTACTGTGATTCTGTTGGTTTTTTTAAGTAGAAAGATAGTTGTTCATTGTCTCTGACATCTCAGAGTCCTCAGTATAGAGGACACCCAGGCCCAGCATAAGTGATTTAAGAAGGGAATGGAGAAAGGAGTCAATCCTACTTCCGTTCTCCTGGTTTTCCCTTCTCAATAGCACCGGGAAGTCCGTCTGAAGTGCTTGAAGGCTCTTAAAGGGCTGTACAGCAATCGGGACCTGACTGCACGCCTGGAGCTCTTCACCAGCCGCTTCAAGGTAAAACTAGGACAGGGCTCCTTTGCTTGGCTCTTTGTTGTAGTTCCTGTTTCCCCACCTTGTATCTTTCTATTTCCATTGCTGTCATACATCTTTAGCTATCCCAGCAACTGCTTCTACATCCTCTCTTTAGGAATCTGTCAAATTCTAAGAGAATGTGATGTTTTGGAATGGGTACAATGAGATAATTGAGCAATGTTCTCCTTCTACAGGACCGGATGGTTTCCATGGTCATGGACAGAGAGTACGATGTGGCAGTGGAGGCCGTCAGGCTGCTAATACTTATCCTTAAGTGAGTCCTGGGAAGTAGGGGGGCAAGCATCTCAGAATTTTGCTTTTCCAGCATCAGGCAGGCCCTTCCAGAGTCCTGTCTCTGCACATATCATAGGTTGATTCTTCCTTACAAGCAGGTTGAAAGACAAAGGTCATTCCTGAGTTGCAGCATCTTGAGGGGGAAAGTGTTCCTATCTTCTCTAACTCCCCATACTCTGTCTTCCACTCTTCATTTAAAAGTTCTTTGTGAATTATAGCCTCCTTTTGTTGTTGTTGTTGTTTTAGGAGATGAGGTCTTGCTCTGTTGCCCAGGCTGGAGTGCAGTGACATCATCATAGCTAACTGCAGCCTTGAACTCCTGGGCTCAAGCAATACTTCTGTCTCAGCCTTTTCTTAGCTGAGACTACTGGCATGCATCACATCCAGCTAATTTTTTATTTTTGTAGAGATGATTTAATGTTGCCCAGGCTGGTCTTGAACTCCTGGCCTCAAGTGATCTTCCCTCCTTGTCCTCCCAAAGTGCTGGGATTACAGGCGTGAGCCACCACACCCAGCCTATTCTTGATATTCTTGCCGATTTTTATTTCTAGACTTGGTTATCTAGAAGGCAACATCCACATCTACACGCTCTTTTTGCTTTTCCATGGGCAGGAACATGGAAGGGGTGCTGACGGATCCAGACTGTGAAAGCATCTATCCTGTTGTGTATGCCTCTAATCGAGCCCTAGCCTCTGCTGCGGGAGAGTTTCTGTACTGGAAGTGAGTGGGGCTCTTTTTGTGCTCTTTAACACCATCCTCTGTCATTTTCTCTCCCTCATTTGCTGCTGCTCTGCCTAAGGACTTCCCATACCTGTGAAAGTCTCTTGGTGTCTCCTTTCTTTTTTCAACTCCTTGGGGCTTTCCTTTATCATCTCCTTGGCTGTGTCTTCCCTCCATGATGATCATTGCAATCCTTATTTCCTCCCATTCTGTGCCCTTTCCTCATGTCCATTCCATCAGGCTCTTCTACCCTGAGTGTGAGACAAGAACAGTGGGTGAAAGGGAGCGACGCCAAAGCCCACGTGCCCAGAGGACTTTCTTCCGCCTTCTGCTGTCCTTCTTTGTACAGAGTGAGGTGACATATGGAAAGATGATGTTTGGCTGTCATGTGTAAGACCTACAAGTAGAGAAGATGGGGGCAGGCACTATAGGAAGGAGAGCCATGTTTAATCAATAACCACTTCCTAGAGTATTTTAATGCGGCATCTGCAGCTTACCATGCACCCTCTTCTGCAGCTCCATGACCATGCGGCTTACTTAGTAGACAGCCTGTGGGACTGTGCAGGATCTCAGCTGAAGGACTGGGAGAGTCTGACAAGCCTGCTACTGGAGAAGGACCAGAGTGCGTGCCATGTGGTAGCTGGGGGACAGGGACTTCTCACCTCCTAGTGTGAAACCAGAGAGATTTCTTTCCTGACCTGTAAAAGGCAGCAGAGGTAGCTTGGGTTAGGGGGATTTGGAGAAGAAAGGTGACTAATCTGTGACTCTGTGTTTTTGATCCTCCTGCCAACCCAGACCTGGGCGACGTGCAGGAGAGCACGCTGATAGAAATCCTCGTATCCAGTGCCCGGCAAGCTTCAGAGGGTCACCCGCCCGTGGGGCGGGTCACTGGGAGGAAGGTACGGCGAGAGGGGTGGGCTGGGTAGGTAAGCAGTGTTAATCCAGACAGGTCTTGTGCATCCTTATCCTCCAGCCCTGGGTCAGGGTGCTCTTTCCGCCCTTCAAAGAATTCCGTTTCCAGAAAAAAGAAATCTGAAGGGAGCTGGTGAATTCTTTTTTCCTTGCTGGGGAGACAAGGTCGTGCAGAGGAGGGGTGCACATACACATCCTCTGGCCCAGCATGTCTCTGCACTTTTCCCCTACCTTCAAAGTGACTCTAATTCTAGGGCTTAACCTCTAAAGAACGCAAGACCCAAGCTGATGACAAAGTGAAACTGACTGAGCACCTCATCCCCCTGCTACCCCAGCTCCTGGCCAAGGTAGTCCTGCCCCACCGTTGACCATCAAGGGATGAGCAGTGAAAGGACGTGGCCTCTGATGAGGGATGGGCATAGAAATTAGCAACATGTTAGCTAATAATGAGCCCTTCCTCTCACAACTGTCACAGTTCTCGGCTGATGCAGAGAAGGTCGCGCCCTTGCTCCGGCTTCTTGGCTACTTTGACCTCAACATCTACTGCACTGGGCGCTTGGAGAAGGTGAGGAGGCAGGAAGATACATGTCCTATACCTTGTGGCTCACCTGCTAGAGCCAAAGGTTCTACCACCAGTATCTGGTTCTTTTCAGGAACGTGGGTTGCAGAAAGATCAATAAGCCTTTTGTTTCTTTAGCCATCATTATCCTTGAAATTTAATGCTTAGAACCCTATTCCTTATCTGCCCCAGGCTCTACTCCCCCTCTAGAAGAGTTCTTCTAACCCCTAGCCCCAACACTGTCATCTTCTACCTTTTTTCCCTTTTAGCACCTGGAGCTATTCTTGCAGCAACTCCAGGAGGTGGTGGTGAAGCACGCAGAGCCAGCTGTGCTTGAGGCAGGAGCTCACGCCCTCTACCTGCTCTGTAATCCTGAGTTCACTTTCTTTAGCCGGGTGGACTTTGCCCGCAGCCAACTGGTGGATCTGCTGACCGACCGCTTCCAGCAGGAACTTGAAGAGCTGCTGCAGGTAGGAGCTGGGTGAATGACAGGATGACCCAAATGAGGGAGAGGGCCACAAGGCAGGGAATGTGGATCAGGGAGTTCTTGAGAAAATCCTGTTGTGGACCTTCTTTCTTCCTCAGTCATCCTTCCTAGATGAGGATGAGGTGTATAATCTGGCAGCCACTCTGAAGCGCCTCTCTGCCTTCTACAAGTGAGCAGCTTTCCTCCTCTTCCCTCGCCTGTTTATGCTGGTGTCTGTGGAGTTGGTTCCCTTTGTTCTGTTCCAGTGTAATGTTTCCCTCTCTCCCTGCAAAGCGCTCATGACCTGACTCGCTGGGAGCTCTATGAGCCATGCTACCGACTCCTCCGGAAGGCTGTGGACACGGGAGAGGTTCCTCACCAGGCAAGTAGATGGGCTGGAGATACAGGGGCTGGGGAGGAGTTTCTAAAGGCCTGTGTCCTTTAGACACAAAGGTAACCACCTCTCCTAGGTGGGTCTGGTCCCAGAGTGTGGCGTGGATACACGGAGGAAGATCAGGTGGGGGTTACTCCTTCCATTCCTTTCTTGAAAGGTAGACTATACTTCTAGTGCCTCAAAACCGCCATGATGTCAGGTTTCCTGGGAGTCAAAGGTAACATTGAGGGATTCTAGGAAACTTAGAGTAAATTAGGGAGAGGTAGCATTTCCACCCAGTATAGAAGCCTCTGAAGATTGGTCCAGAGTATCAGTTCTTTCAGTCCACCAGAAAAGGAATTGGATTTCTCCCCAGATCTCATTTTCTGTCTTCTTCACTGTTATGTGTGTGTGTGTATATCTGTTCCCCACTCCTTCTCTCTCTCTCTCTCTCTATCCCCTGCCTCTCACTCCCCTGACCCAAACCTCATTTTTCTAACATTTTGTTGTTACAGGTGACCCTGCCAGCCTTGACTCTTGTCTATTTTTCCATCCTCTGGACACTGACCCACGTTTCTGGATCGGATGCTTCCCAGGTGAGTATGCGTCTGAGAAAGGGTCATGGGAGTGAAGGAGCCTGTGTCTTCATACCTCCCCTTCAAGCTGCTGTCCCCACAGAAGCAGCTGCTGAGTTTGAAGGGCAGAATGGTGGCCTTCTGTGAGCTCTGCCAGAGCTGCCTCTCAGATGTGGATCCTGAGATCCAGGAGCAGGTGAGCATTTACTCAAGTGGGAGCAAGTGCCCCCTCAATACCAAGGAGAGATTGATTGGCTGTGTCATTTCTACCCTAGTAAACATTCTATCCTTTTAAGCATCCTTTATTTTCCCCCAACAGGCTTTTGTCTTATTAAGTGACCTGCTTCTCATCTTCAGCCCTCAGATGATTATAGGGGGCCGTGATTTCCTTAGGCCTCTTGTCTTTTTTCCTGAAGCTACTCTCCAGTCTGAGCTGGCCAGCTTCCTCATGGACCATGTCTTCATCCAGCCTGGAGACCTGGGCAGTGGTACAGGGACTCTATACCTGGGGCTCAGGAAGGGTTTGGGGCTTGGGCCTGGCTCAGGAATATAGGGCAGGGGCCTTAGTCTGTAATTGCATTCTGCATTTGATGTGAGCCAGGTCATTCCCAGGAGGATCATTTACAGATAGAGCAGCTGCACCACCGGCGCCGCCTCTTGGCCGGATTCTGTAAGCTGTTGCTTTATGGGGTGCTGGAGATGGACGCAGCCTCAGATGTTTTCAAGCACTACAACAAGGTACGGTGAAGCCTTACAGAAATAAAGGAGAGGGGACCAATTTGAGCACAGCCCTGACTTCAGGCACTGTAGCACTACAGAAATGTGGGTGAGGGCATCTGATTGTATCAAGGCTTACAGGAGAAGTAGGAGGGAAAGGCAATAGGAGTTTAGAATAAAGGGACAAAAAAAGAGAGTAGTAAATAATTATGGGGAAAAAGCTGTTAAGAAATTCATTGGAGGAGAAATAGCTTATTATTCCTGTCCAGAAATATTTTTTTTCTCCAAACCCAGTCTGTGGAATGGAGTGATATAAGAAGGAAAAAGGAATGGAAGAGGATTAGTCTTCACAAGTTCCCTCAACCTACCATCATGTTGCTCTCTGTTTACTGAACACATGCCTGTTTGCCAAGCACCATCCTAGGCGCTAAGGACACAGCAGTGAACAGACGGACAAAAGTTCCCATTTTGTGGAGCTTCTCTTCTAGTGGGGGAGAGACAAAGAGTGAAGGCGTCAGCGTTGGGGGACGTGTGCACTGACAGGCTCACTGCTCTTCTTCTCCAAGAATAGGGCTCAAGGCAGGGTTTCTTCCATTACTTATTTACCTAAACTCACATATCTTTTGGGTTTTATACCAATTGGTTAGAGACAAGGTCTAGTCTGAATTATTTTATGCTTAAATTGATGTTTCCTATGTAAGGCACTTTGGGAAGGAGACGTGATTCGGGATGTAAAGGAAGAAACAAAACAAAATCTTTTCCAGTGGTCAAACAGTACCTTCTCCATTTCTTCTCCCTTAGTTCTACAACGACTATGGTGATATCATCAAGGAAACATTAACTAGAGCAAGACAGATTGACCGAAGTCAGTGTTCCCGAATCCTGCTGTTGAGCCTGAAGCAGGTGCTTCCTTTTGCCTAGAGGGCCTCAAACCCATGATATTTCCTCCCTGTAGTCCCCAACTCTCTGTCCCCCTCAGCTACTTTAAGAGCAGGAATTTTCTTATTTTGACTCCAACTTTCAATGTCAGGCTCCTTCATACCAAGCCGACCTTTAGAAAGTATTTTTTTAATTGACTGGGCAGTTTCAACCCCAACCCCACAGAAATCAGCTATCAGGATGTGGGAGCACCAATAAGGAAGTAATAGGGAATTCCTAATTATTTTTTAGTCTGTTCTGTCTCAGCTGCCTTCAGTTACTACAGATGTTTTAAGTTATTATTACAGAGCAGAGGTGAAGGCTCTCTCTGCTACAGGGGCCAGGGATTGGGGCAGTGTCCTAGGAGGAAAGACAGAGTAAGGCCAGACACAGTGCCTCACGCCTATAATCCTAGCACTCTGGGAGGCTGAGGCATGAGGATCGCTTGAGCTCGGGAGTTCGAGACCAGCCTGAACAAGAACGAGACCTCATCTCTACTACAAAATAGAAAAGTTAGCTGGATGTCATGGCGCACACCTGTAGTCCTAGCTACTCGGGAGGCTGAGGCAGTGGGATTGCTTGAGCCCAGGAGTTTGAGATTGCTGTGAGCTATGCACCACTGCACTCTAGCCAGGTGTCAGAGTGAGACTCTGTCTCAAAAAAAAAAAAAAAAAGTAAAAGTAGTAGATGGGGCCCAAAGCCCTTTGGAATATCTCACTACAGAATGGGAATGCTGGCTGGGCGCGGTGGCTCACGCCTGTAATCCTAGCACTCTGGGAGGCCGAGGCGGGCGGATCGTCTCAGCTCAGGAGTTCGAGACCAGCCTGAGCAAGAGCGAGACCCCGTCTCTACTAAAATTAGAAAGAAATTAATTGGACAACTAAAAATATATAGAAAAAATTAGCCGGGCATGGTGGCACATGCCTGTAGTCCCAGCTACTCGGGAGGCTGAGGCAGTAGGATTGCTTGAGCCCAGGAGTTTGAGGTTGCTGTGAGCTAGGCTGACGCCACGGCACTCTAGCCCGGGAAACAGAGTAAGACTCTGTCTCAAAAAAAAAGGAAAAAAAAAGGAGAATGGGAATGCTGTGCTTCTCTATTTCCACCTGTTCCTCCCTTTCCCAAATGTACCATGCCTCTTGGACACAGTTGTACACAGAACTGCTGCAGGAACAGGGGCCCCAGGGCCTGAATGAACTTCCAGCCTTCATTGAGATGAGGGACCTGGCCCGGAGGTTTGCCTTGAGCTTTGGACCCCAGCAGCTGCAGAACCGTGACCTTGTGGTCATGCTACACAAGTAAGGAAGTATTGTTTGGAGACTGTGTACAGGGAGGGCTGGGAGTGAGGTCTTGGAGGGAGGGTAAGAATGTCAAGATGGAGCAGTCAGGTTGTTGCTGGCCATGCTCCTGGAGAGAAGCTAGGGTCAGGGAGAGGGTACACTTGGACAGGATGTTCCAGTGGGAAGGGACTATCTTCCTAAAATAATTCTGCCCAATGAAGGGAAGGCATCAAGTTCTCCTTGTCTGAGCTTCCTCCAGCTGGCTCCTCCGGTCAGCCCCCAAATCTTGCGTTCCTAGAGCTCCTTGCAGAGTTTTCCCCCCGACTCTTCCATCAGGACAAGCAGCTGCTGTAAGTTGGTGGGTGGATACAGATGTGGGTTAAGGAAGAAGGGGCTGGTGAAGGCCCAGTGGCCATTTTAGCCTCTTCATTCCACCCTTTCTTAGACTGTCTTACTTGGAAAAGTACCTGCAGCATGTCTCCCAGGTACCTGGCCGTCCCTGGGGTCCAGTCACCACCTACTGCAACTCTCTCAGCCCTGTGGAGAACACAGCAGAGGGCAGCCCTCAGGGATACCCCCGCTCCAAGAAGAGGCGCCTTGAAGGTAGAGTGCTGTGTGGTAACAGGGCACTCGGAGCTGCCTCTTTTATTGCTACCACTTAGATAAGCAGCAGATGGTCTTTGGCCTCCTTCAGGCTTCTATTTTGTAAAATATTTCATTGAGCATCTATTATCATTAAGGGTATTCACTTTCTTTGAAGTTTATCTAGCCGACTAAAAATAGCAAATGTCTGTGAAAAAGCAAACAGAAATTAATGATAGGGACAGGGCTGGGAAGGGAATAAAAAAAAAAGAAACTAATGATAAAACCAAAGATTGAAGTAAGAAATCTGTATATTTAGAGTGCCCCTCCTTGACATCTTATATTCCATTATTTTCCAAATTTTTTTCTTTTCAGATATTAAACTGATAAGAACAGATACTACACTTGATCTTAGCCAAAAGGCCGAGAAGCAATTATTTTCCAAATTTTAGAGATTTTTTACACAACCTTTATGATGTTTTACCTTTAGACCATCACTAGTCTTATAATTTACCTCAAGTTTTTTCTTTAATTTGTTTTTTTTAACATATTCTCACATTAAGTGATAACATCCTAGCAATCACAGTTTGATTTGCTAGTATGTGTTTCCTAGTGTACTTTTTTTTTTTTTTTTTTTAAAGTAAAAACAGTCTTGCTCTGTCACCCCGGGTAAAGTGCAATGGCATCATTGCAGCTCACTGCAACCTCAAACTCCTGGGCTCAAGTGATCTTCCTGCCTCAGCCTCCCAAGTAGCTGGGACTAAAGGCACATGCCACCACACCCAGCTAATTCCTTTAGTAGAGACAGGGTCCTGCTCTTGCTCAGGCTGGTCTTGAACTCTTGAGCTCAAGCAATCCTTCTGCCTCGGCCTCCCAGAGTGCTAGGATTATAGGTGTGAGCCACTGCACCCAGCCTCTAGTATACATTTTAAAAGAGGATTTTATGTAGCAGCTTTATTGAGACATAATTCACATACTATAAAAATCACTGTTTTAAAGTGAACACAAGCGGTTTTTGGTATATTCACCGAGTTGTGCAGCCATCACCACTATCTAATCTTAGAACCTTTTCCTCACTTCGAAAGAAACCACAAACCCATTAACAGTCTCTCACCATCCTCCCAGCCTCAGGTAGTGGCACTAATCTAATTTCTGTCTCTGGATTTGCTTATTCCAGATATTTCACATAAATGTAATCATACAATATGTGACCTTTTGTGTCTGCCGCCTTTCACTTAGCACAATGTTTTCAAGGTTCATCTGTGCTTTAGCATATATCAGTACCTCATACCTTTGTGTGGTGGAATACTATGCCATTGTATGTTTATGTTATATTTTATTTATCCATTAATCAGTTGATGGACATTTGAGTTATTTCCATTTTTTGACTATTATATATAATGCTGCTAAACATTCGTGTGCAAGTTTTTAGGTGGACATATCTTTTCAGTTTTTTTTTGAAATATACTTAGGAGTGGAATTGCTGGGTCATATGGTAACTCTATGTTTAACTTTTTGAGGAATCACCAAACTGTTTTCCAAAGTGCCTACACCATTTTATAATCCCACCAGCAATAATGGGAGCTCCAATTTCTTCACTTCCTCACCAGTACTTGTTATTGTCTTCTTACTTTTATCTATCTCCTAGCAACTGTGTATCTCATGGTGGTTTAAATTGGCATTTCCCTAATGACTGATGATACTGAGCATCTTTTCATGTGCTGATTGACAGTTTGTTTATCTTTGAAGGAATGTCTATTCAGATCCTTTGCTATTTTTAAATTGGGATATTTGGTTTTTTATTGTTGAATTGTAAGAGTTCTTTATATATTTTAGATACAGGATTCCTTATGACACACAAAAGTTTTCTCTCTTTTTGTGGGTTGTCTTTTCATGTTGTTGATGGTGTCCTTCCAAACAAAAAAGCTCTTAATTTTGATTAAATCTACTTTATTTTTTTCTTATGTTGCTTGTGCTTTTGGTGTCATATCTTAAGAAACCATTGCCTAATCCAAGGTCACAAAGATTTACTGTTTTTTCCTAAGAGTTTTATAGTTTTAGCTCTTAAATTTAAGTCTGTGATCCAGTTTGAGTTAATTTTTGCATACGGTGTGAGGTAGGGTGTGATTTCTTTTTAATGTCGTCTGTATACCACCTAAAATTTTATCTTATGCCACCAGGAAACGCTCTTTTAATTGCTTAACTAATATTTGTTAAGGACCTACTATGTGCAAGATTCTGTGTTGACTTTTTTAGAGGCCATGAAAGATCCTCGAGCAGCTTACCATCTAATAGGAAGAGGAAAAATACATTTAAGGAAAATCCAAATTATGAACAGTCACTAATAAAAGATAACTGCCTGAGGGCTTGTACAAATGAGTGCTATAGAATTCGGAGAAGGAATGTATCACTTTAAGTTTAGTTGATCTATGAAGGCTTTACCAAGAAGATGGAATTTAAGCTGGAGTTTAAAAAATGGGTCAGATTTAAATAAGCATCGTGGGCTAGCAGAACAGCACAAGCAGAACATAGAAAGGTATGTGATATGAGTATAGGCATGGATGTATGTAGATTTGTTTGCCTAAAGCAGAGGGTTTGTAAAGGTGAGATAAAACTGAAGACATTGGTTCTGTTGTTCATTGAACAGATACTGAGCACCATGTGCTGAGAATCCGGCAGTGAACAAAAAGGACAAAAATGCCTTTATTTAGAGAGTGTCAGATAGCTATAAATGCTATGACAAAAGAGCAGGGAGGAGTGTGAGGGAATACCAGCAGGGTGGGGATTGCAGTTTCACAAAGAGTGATCAGGGGAAAGCCTAGAGGATATGAAGGTTGGGCAGAAAACCTAAAGGAAGCATTAAAAGGTAAATTTAGGCACATTAAAATTTTAACACGTTTATTTGAGCATTCAGTGATTCATGAATCAGGCACCACCAGACTGCAAGCACTTCAGGGCTCCGTACCTAGGAGGGACAAGGGGAAAACTTTTATAAGGCGTTTGCGGAAGCAAGACAAAATATTTGATTGGTTAAAGTGGAAAGTCCCTACTTAGAGGTTAATCCATGGTTTCTAATTGGTAAAGTCTCTAGTTAGAAGTTAGTTGGTGGTTTCTGATTGGTTAAGCTTAGATTTCCGTTTCCCAGGCTATGCACATTCACTGTGATCTGGGTTTTGGTTTGCTTGTATAAGAACCCAAGGTGCTTGAGCCATCTCAGCCATGGCCTCCCAATTTTTTTAACAGGTGAGGGAGGGTGCCTAGTGTGTATCAGAATAGCATACCAAAGGGAGCAGCCCGTCCAAAGGCTGTGAGGGGGATGTTCCTGGCATGTTCAAGAAACAGCAGAGGCAACCATTGTGGCCAGAATGCAGAGCATATAGGATACGATAGCAAAGATGAGTCCAGAGCATGTAAGGCAGGGCAAAGGCTTTGGCTTTTACTCTGAGTGCAGTGGGAAACCATTAGAGGATTTTGAGCAGAGGAGTGACAGGATCTGTGTTTTTACAGAATCCTTTTGGCTGCTGTGTTGAGACTGACAGGAGAAGGAGGAAGGGTAGAAACAAGGAGACCAGTGAGGAGCCTATTGTGGGCGTCCAGCCAAGAGATGAGAGTGCATAGACCAGGGCAGTGGGGGGAAGGGGGCTGAAGTGGCCAGATTCTAGGTGCATTTTTGAGGTGTATCTAATAGGATTTCCTGGCAAACTGGATGTGAGATATAAGACAGAGAGAGGAGTTGAGGATGACTTCAAGGATGTGGCCTGACATTTGGAAGGATGGATGGAATTGATACCATCCGAAATGAGGAAGACTGCGAGTGAAGCAGGCTGTAGGGTAAGGTCAGGACTTTGGCACTGGTCATGGTCTTACAGATGGAGATGTAGAACAGACCATAGGGGCTAGGAAGCTGGAGTTCAGGAAGAGCTAAATGCTTGAAATCAGTTTGGGAGTTGGCGGAGTGCAGGTTAAGGGCACGAACCTAAATGACTAAGGAAGCTGGCAAAGAGAGGCCCTAGAGCCCAGCCCTGGGCATTGTGCTGTTAACATAGATTGGGAAGATTAGGAGGACCCACCTGGGGGCCCAAGGTTTCCTCCTTGGGGATACAAGTTCACGGGTGTGGCTCTTACCTATTTTCTGTAGCCCTCTGCTTAAACAAGTAGCAGCTCCTTATGGGGTTATTGGTTTGAGTGTACAAACATGGCTGTGGAGAGGGAGAGCATAGGGGTATGAATATTTACAGTTGACAAATATGAACATCAATTTGACTGATGTTTAAAATAGCGTTACCTGGGTTTTCACAGGTAGAGTCTTCAGATTCTTTCTCTTCCTCTGCATTCTCTGATATCTGCAGGAGAGAGATCCTCCACTCATCCTTCATATCAGAATTACACTGACATTGCAATCATCTCATTTTTTTCTGGCTTTTATAAAATCCTGGCTCCCATTTTTCTGTTTCTCTCTAGCCCTCATCCACTCTAGTCTCTGGTCCCAAAGGTCTATTGCCATTTTAAGCTTTTTCTGACCATAGAAATGTTGAATGGATAGGATCCCAGATGTCTTCACTAATTACCTAAGACCTCTCAATCTTAGGAAAGCCAACCTCATTCACATTTGTGTTCATGTATTACTGTTTCTCTGTGAAATGTACATTTATATTTCTTTCCATCTTGTTTTTTAAGCTGTATAGTAAGTTTTTCTTGGACAAGGCCTATATACAACTCTGTAAGCCTTATTTTTTTTTTTCTTTTTGAGACAGGGTCTTGCTTTGTTGCCCAGGGTGGAGTGCAGTGGCATCATCATGGCTCACTGCAGCCTTGAACTTCTGGGCTCAAGCGATCTTCCTACCTCAGCCTCCTGTGTAGCTGAGACTACTGGGACTACACCCGGCTAGTTTTTAATTTTTGTAGAGATGAGGTCTTGCTAATGTTGCCCAGGCTGGTCTCAAACTCCTGGCTTTAAGCAATTCTCCTGTCTCTGCCTCCTAAAGTGCTGGGATTACAGTCATGAGCCACTGTGCCCAGCAAGCCTTACTTTTTAGTATATAGGGCTGTGCTCACTTCTGAGGTGTAACAGATGAGGCTTTTTTTTTTTTTTTTTTAAAGAGTGAGGCTTTGTAAGTTTTCCATTCTCTTCTTGCTTAACTTTCTCTTACCAAATCTTGGGCAGGTCTTGAAAAGTAAAAACACCTGTGGCAGGTCCTGGTGTGTAGTTAATATGTGCACCTGTTGCTTTGCAGGCCCCTCCAAGCGTAACAGAGAGGACATGATCTCCTCCTCCCAGGAAGAAAGCCTGCAGCTGAACAGCATCCCACCCACGCCCACCCTCACCTCCACAGCTGTGAAGAGCAGGCAGCCCCTGGTGGGTGTGGAGGAAGAAGAAGATGGCTCAGAATCGGAGTTTGCCCAAGGGTGAGGGCCTAGGAGAGAGCCTGGGTGTGCAGTTTGCCAGTTTGGTGTTTGGCCATCCCCATCTTGCTGTTTTGGTTCTGTCTTTCCCTCCTGCACTCCCTCATTCTCAGGTTTTTCTCTAATATCCTTTTCCCTTTTTTTTAGCTTTAAAATGTCTCTCTGCCAACACTCTGAGCTTTCCTACCCTTTAATACTGGCCACTGTCCCTCCTCTTTTACCCTTTATTTTTATCCCTTTCACTGATCCTGCTTCATTCCCAGCAGCCAGCCCCTTGCAGACACCCACAGGTCAAGGTTCTTGGGTCCACAGTATTTCCGGACTCCTCACAATCCTTCAGGTCCTGCTCTGGGCAACCAGCTGACCCGGTGAGCTTTTCTCATCATCTTCTAGCTTCACTTCAGATCTGTCATCCACTGGGAGGGGAGTCTCACCTTATCCAGTAAATTCTCTGCCAGTGCTTTTTTAACTTGTTTTAGCCACAGAACACTTCCTATCAGCATAAAGTGGAGCCCTAGTATATTCTACTTACTGCCCACCCTGCTCCTCTGGGTGCCTCTGAGAAACTCAGCGGTCCTTAAAGAACAGTTTGAAAACCCCTGTCCTTTGCCCCTATATCAGACTCAGCCTTATGGAAGAGGATGAAGAAGAAGAGTTAGAAATTCAGGATGAGTCAAGTGAAGAATGGCAAGATACAGATAAGGTGAGAGGACCCACCCTTCCCTTCTCCCTGTAGAACTAGAGGCTGATGTTGGGAAGAGAAACTAGTTTAAAATTTTTTTAAATAATGAAATGGAGCTTTTACATAAAATACAAAGTAAAAGCACCTTATAAATGGAAAAGGGCTATGTATTAGTTCAGGCTGCTGTAACAGAATGCCATAGACTGGTGCCTTATAAACAACAGAAATTCATTTCTCACAGTTCTGGAGGCCAGAAGTCTAAGATCAGGGTAAGCATGGTTGGATTCTGATGAGGACCATCGTCCAGGTTGCAGACTGCTGACTTCTAGTTGTATTCACAAGCGAGCTCTTTGGTCTCTTTTTACAAGAGCACTAATCCCATTTCCGAGGGCTCTACCACCATGACCTCATCACCTCCCAGAGGCCCCACCTCCTAATACTACCACATTGAGGGTAGGAGTTCAACATATGAACTGTGGGGTGGGGAGGCTCAGGCATTCAGTCCAGGGCAGGCTGTGTATCTTCTACTGTTATTCTGCTCCCTGCTCTGGTCTTTGGGGAGGGAGAGAGAACGGAATACAATAGAGCAGGGGAGTGGAGGTCTTATGCTCAGAGGTTAAAACCAATCAGTCCAAACAATGACGCCTTCAAACCAGAGACTGGAGAACAAGGCTTCTATTACAATATTCTTTCCTGGCACCTCAGGACAAATCCCATTCTCTGATTCCAAAACTGAACACATTTAAGGGGCTCAGTCACCAGTCCAAGAGAGGAGGCATTTCTCTGCTAACTCTGGCATCTGGGATCCCCTGATCCTGTGCCCACCCTTTGCTAATTTCTCTCCCAGGCTGTGCTGTCGGGGCCCAAGGAGGGCCCTTGTGTTTGTTCTTATGAGATTGGAAAACGAACTGTGTTTTTTGTTTGCACATGATGGGAGTGGGGAGAGGCCTTTTGACTTTTGACCCCAATCTCACTAGCAGGCAGGTAGCCACTCTTCACCCAGTGAGCACAGGCTGGACCTCTTAGATTCTACAGAGCTGAACCTCGAGGTGAGTGTCCCTGAGAAATTCCAGCAGGCAAGCCATGTACCTGTCAAATTGATGGAAAGGCTACAGCCCGTGGGCAGCCTTCTCAGCTGTCTCAGAGCTTTGGGAGTAGCCTGGGGAGGAGGGGAAGTTAGAATCATCATCTGGAAGACCACACGGTTAACTGTCCTTTGGCCTGTTGCTCTCTCTATTCCTTTCATCTTTCTCATTACAGGATTTCTGACATGACCCTGGGCCCCTCCCAATCTCCACTCCCCGCCTCAAGGACATGACCATTTGGAAAAGGCAAAGAGAAAAGAAGCAAAACTGAAGCATTGCTTCCAGGCCCAGCCCTGGCCTCTGAGGGAAAGGGGAGCTGGGCATCGCCTTTCTAACCTAACCTTTCTCTTAGTGATGTTGGGGTAGAGAAGCCGTGAGACACTGTCCTCCCTAACATGCCATGGCTCTGTTCCTCTGCCTGTTTCCTGCTTGGTTTCGGGGGATAGTGTCACCTCAACATTGGAGGAGGGGCATTGCCTCCTTATGTTTAATGGAAAGAGCCCATAGTTCTCCTGTATTTTTGGAACATCTTCCCCAGCCTCTTTTGTGCCCTCGTGATGAACTCAATAAACATGTTTGAATCAGGCCGTTCCTAAGGTGTGGCTTGAGATCGTTAAACTCATGGAGTTAGGTTCCTTGTCAGCCTAGCACCGTGGCCCAGTGCACAGGTGTCACCACGCTCGCAGGTGCTTTGTCTACAGGCTCTCCAGGTTGCAATGCTTAGTAACTGAGAGGTGGGGTGGGGCAGCGGAGTCAGAGATTGGCTGCCTTTGAGTAGTTTATCTGGTGGGGACAGTTTCTGCAGAAGCGAAGGAGGATGGTAGTGACAGGCTGGAGGGTGGAGCAGGACCTTATGAAACTGCCCATCTCACCCACTCAGGCCAGGCCACATCTCCTGGCAGCCTTCACCTAACAGTCCTTTCCAGGGGTAATTTCATCCCCTCATCCCAAAGACATCCATCATAATTTAGAATTTGATAGAGTCACAATATCCGAAAGTGAGGAGGAAACTTAGAAGTGACTCTAAATGCCCAGCCCCAAAAGACGTTGCTGGACTCTCATCTTCAGCCTCGCCTTCCTCAGCTAGTTCTTCACCAAGTCCTGTCAAGGTATCCCCCAAAACATGTCTCTGATCTTCGTTGTTCTCTCGTTGCTCCGTCATCTTTCGCCTACACTGCCACACAACAGCCTCGGAAGCCTGCCTCCCCGAAACGCTTGCTTGTTTGTTCTTGTTCTGCCGTGTGGAGCAGCCCAGGGCCTCTCTTCTCTTGTCCCTCTGACAAGCAATCAAATATGTATGTGAAGACAGCTCTTGTCACTTTCTAGTTTCACTGTTTTTTTCTGTGGACCCTTCAGCCTCTCCTTTTAGATTTGATTCCAATTTCTCCCTGCTCCCTGTCCTGGGCACCTGCTTTAGTTACAGGTTCTCACAGTGGTTGCTGAGGCCAAACAGTCACCCAGCTAAGAACCATGACTTCCTGTGATCAGGCCACTCAGCCAGAACTGCCTCTCCTTCCTTCCCCCTCCCTCTGCCTCCCCTCCCTCTTCCCTTCTCTGTCCCCGCCCCTCCTAGATAAAAGCTAGAAGAGGTTGAGTTGTGAGTCTCCTGGGGGAAGGGGGTGGCAGCTAACTCACTCAGAGATCTTCAGCCGATATTCAGGTGGGGACAGCTCCAGGAAGAGGAGCCTGCTTTATGGGACCTGGGAACAGAGTGGGAAAACTGAGGTGAAGGTACGGAGGTCACTAAGAATCCAGGAGAGGAAAGATTTCTGAGTTATTTAAATACCATCTAAGCCGAGGGTACTTCACAAGAGCAAAAGAGAAACTTGGAGGCAAGGATTGCTTGAGGCCAGGAGTTTGAGGTTACAGTGAGCTGTGATCTTAGGGCTGCACTCCAGCCTGGGCAACACAGCAACATACTATCTCTTAAAAAAAAGGTTGGGTCTAGGTCCTCTCCCCTTGAATATGGGCTCAGTGATTGCTTGACTAATAGCATATGGTGGAAATGATGAGACAGTATCTTGCTTTCCAAGGCATGGTGACTGGGTTCCAAAAGCAAACATCTCAAGAAACAGGAAGTAGAAACTGCCAGTTTGTGGGCCCAGATTTTAAGGAAACTGGCAGCCCTGGGAAGGTCCGGGCAGCCGCACGAAAAGACCGTGTGGAGGGTTCCAGCCAGCAGCCCTCACTGAGGTCCCAGCCAATCTCCCGTGTCAGCCACGAGACACAGTCCAGATGGCAATCCGATTATTCCAACCCCCAGCTTTTAAGTTTTCCCAGCTGAGGCCCAGACATGAGGGAGTGGAGGCAAGCCATCTCTCCGTGCCCTTTCCAAATTCCTGACCCATAGAATCCATGAGCATAATTAGATGGTGGTTTTGTACACCACTTAGTCTGGAGTGGTTTGTTATGTAGCCATAGAAACTGGAACAGAACCTTAGACTCACAAGACTCCAAAAGTTTTGGCATCTTTAACAGTTAAAAAAATGATAAAATACATAAACATTTACTAATTTTATATATTATAATACACATTTAAAATAATGGATGAGTTAATGATGAAATAAGTATTTTTAAATACTTTATTGGTTAACAGTACAAAATATCTTTTTGCTTTAAAAAAGGGTTTTAGTGTCCAGGTGAGGTGGCTCTCCCCTATAATCCTAGCACTCTGGGAGGCCAAGGCAGGAAGATCACTTGAGGTCAGGAGTTCAAGATCAGTCTGAGCAAGAGTGAGACCCCATCTCTACTAAAAATAGAAAAAATCAGCAGGGCATGGTGGCCTGTGCCTGTAGTCCCAGCTACTCGGGAGGTTGAAGCAAGATGATCGCTTGAGCCCAGGATGCTGAGGTTGCAGTGAACTGTGATGATGCCGCTGCACTCTAGCCCAGGCAACAGAGTGATACTGTCTCAAAAAAAAAAAAAAAAAAAGGTTTTAGTGAGAGCAAGGTGAGAAACATTTTTTAAGTCATGATTTAACATTTTTTGAACTTTTTCTAGTTGAAGGTTCAGTTTAATGTTAATACTTAGTTTTAATGACCTTTATGACTGAAAAGAGTGCGTCTTGAAAACATGTAAATCCAAATGGCATAGCTGCCTCTTTGCATTTACTACTGTTTCAATAGATGAGTTCAAAACCCACTGAAATTCTTCACTGGGAAGACTTGTAAACAGGTCGGAAAATGATTTCTCAGTGTAAATCCCAGCATTCTTACAGGAATATACATTGTTTGGGACCACAAAACCACACATCCTGAAGCATATAAACTGCAGTTTGTGGTAATAAGCTTGCTCTCTTCCTTCAGGATGCTGATCTATTAGAGGTGAACTATGACATTTGGATCCCAGCAAGGCCACCAGTGTCACTTAATAGTAATAACTTCATTTTAATCTACACTTGGTCTTACACAAAAGGCAGAGAAATTATATTGTATTTTTATATATACTAAAAAGTTAGGAAAGTCCTATTTCTCCTGCACAACATCAGTGGATCTTTTTTGTGCACACACCCCACCTTGACAAACTCAGCTCTGAAGGATTCGTGCCAGTGAGCCCCCTGCTGGCCGGGACAGTGCAGGGATGTGGGCTTCTCAGCAGCGCCACCCACACTGGTCAGACCCAGGTCAGGCTGGACCCCAGCTCAGGCCCGAGATGCCGAGGCCTTTGCACAGCCTGATAAGCACCACCGAGCAATGCTTTTTAGGGTGCCTGCACTGCTGTGCATTGCCTGTTAGCTTAATATTGAATAATTGTTTTCAAATCATTTTAAATTTTCAATATGGCTGTATCTGTTTTAACTTGTGTTGTGGCCATGAGCTCTGCCAGAGGCGAGTTGTTGGTGTTATCTGCTGAATTAAAAAGTAAAGAGACTTTTTCAGACTGCTGAGAAAGTCTTCAGCTAATAGGTCAGTCACCCCATCACTTGAACTGCAGGCCACACTGACCCAAGAGTTACAGGATGAAGGTGGGATTCGTGCTCAGATACGAGGGGATGTAGTGGCAGGAGGAGGGAAGGTTTCTGCTCACGTGTGACATCGTGAAGTCTTCCTTGAGCTCTTTAGATCCTTCCCTGAGGACAAGATGGGATGTCGCGATCCTAAAAAACATTCACAAACGAGTCACTCTTCAGTGCGGTCCCTGAAAACCCCTGCGTGTGTGGAATGAGGAGGGCATGGAAAAACAGGTGCCACATGCCTGTGCCCAGGAGGGAGCAGAGAAGTAAGAATAGAAAACTCACCAAAGGTAAACCCAGGGAACTTAGAGAAGACCTCTAATGTGCAAAGGAGCCCACAGTCCTGGAGAAACTTGAAGGAAAGTATATCTAATTTGCTTCGGTAGATTAGAAGCAGTGAAGGGATCGAGGGGTGTTGGTAGAAGCCAAAAATTAAAGCATCTTGTATCACTGATGCGACCTGTCTTTCTGAGGTCACGGCAGCCTAGCGAGGCAACCTAACCTAGTGAGAGACACGGGTTCAAGCCCCAGCTTCTCCACTGCTGGAGCAGAGGAGAGCTGTTCATTGACACAACCTTCTTAGAGTTCAATTTTAATTTTTTAACTATGGAGGAAAGCAGTGCCGCATAGTGGCTCATACTGTGGTTCCCGTCCTGGCTTCCCTGTGTGCCAGCCTTTCCACGCTGGGCAGGCTGTTAAGTATGGAGTGGATATATGTGAATCATTCAGAATGGATTTCGCACATGATATACATTGAGACGTTACCACTTGTTATTTGTATTACTTTGATAAAAAGTAAAATGTAAGCATAGAAGAACAAAAGTGGCCTTTTCCACAATATTTAAAACATGCCAAAATAAACAGCAGTCCAATCTCACCCTACAACTCAGAGGAGCAGAAGCTTTATTTTTCCTCTACAGTTTCAGTCTCTCCTCCTGCCCAGGTAGTGGGGAATTTAACTCTGATTCTTCAAGCTTTCCTTCTTTTCCCTAAGGTTGTGTCGAGTGCCAGAGCATTTGGTGGAGGCAGGAGGCCTCTGGTCCTCTGTCAAAAATAGTATCCTGGATTTTTATAGCCATTTTCCTTTCTCTGTGGTGAGACTAGGCCCTCCAGGACCCTGTGTTTTAGCCCCAGGAATGGAGAACGTCAGAATTGGCTGCCTGGGTTTCTGTCTGCAGGAGGAACAGCGGCTGCTCAGGGAGGAGCTGATCCCTGCCCAGAACTGAGGCTGGGATAAGGTCCAACTCTTGCAGTGGGAGCAGTGCCCACACTGAGACAGCCACACCTGGAGTGGGGAAGTTGGTGTCTAGTTGACCTGCCCAGGGAGCTGTAATACAGATCATGGAGTTATATGTTGTTACGTCTTCTGCACCAGCCACAAAGAAAACTAATCCTGATGTCCTGAAAAGAATGGACTAGACTCAAGGAATATTTCATATAAAAGGATGGTCACCAGCCTCCACTGAGGGCATGAGCCAGGCCTGAGCAGAGTCCGCCCCTGCACTGACTGCCTTAATCCTCAGTAACGACGTGCAGCGGACTGTGTCATCGCTGGTGGGGCACTGCTTATGTGTCTAAGCTTGTAGAGCTATGACATCGTGGCACCACTTCCAACCCTCATGAGCTTAATTCTGCAGACCACAGGGTTGTTTCACTGCAGCAGGACTTGGGCTGTGGCTGCAGGGATTTCACCAAGAAATGTCCCAGGAGGAGGTGGCCATTACCAAACCTGTGTCATCTTGCCTGTACCTCCTCCTGGCTGAAAGTGGGAAGAGGCCAGCAATGTAGGCCTGGTGACACAGGGTTTAGACTACAAAACTTAAGACCTTTTGTGTCTCTGGGATTCAAACTTCTGGAGACTGTTGAGGAATAGTCAAGAAGTTCTGAGAAAGGGTAAGGGCCCTCTTGTTTATCAAACCAAAGTACTCCAGTCAGGACCATGTGGTGTTGACACCGGAATAAGCAAATAATGGCTAGCTCAGGTGAGAGAATCCAGAAGTAGAACTGTTTGCAGAATTTGTTTTATGATCAAGGTGGCATTTTGAAACAGTAGGGAAAGAGCCTAGTTAGTAAATGTTTTGGGGCATCTGGCTCCCCACCTGAAATGTTAGACAGCTATTTTACATCACTTCCAAAATAGAATTCCTTATGGACTAAGAATAAACTCTTCATAGAGTTAAGCATAAAAACAAAACCATAAAAATGTTTTTCTAATCTTAGCCTTCCTAAGCAATACACAAAATTCAGAAATGATAAAGATGACAGCTTTAACCTCATGAAAATTAAAACAGGGCAATGGGAGGGAGCAGGCTGAAGGAGAATTTCGATGTGTTCTATATTGTTTGAATCTTACACGGTGAGAACTTAGGAGGGGACAATGTGGCTGCAGTATTGGAAAAAAGTGGACAGTGTGGGTGAGTAACTTTGTACCACGGCTTCTAAATCCTTCAGTGAGTTCTCGGCTCCCCTTAGGTACTTTGCAGGGGCTCGAATAAAAGAGACTCTTCCTCCAGGGCTTAGAGTCAACCTGTGAAAACTGGCCCACAGGCTACCACTACACAGTGCCACTGAGAGCCTGGTTGAGCCACGACCTGCATCCATGCGGTGGTTGCCCAAGAAGGAAGTGTGCACTCTGGGACAGCTTCCTGGAGGTGGTAGAATTTGAGCTGGGTCTTGCAAAGTAGGTAGGATTGCAGTAGGTGGTGTAGGGAAGTTTTTCTCCTGAAGGTCCCGTAATTTGAGTGTGTAAAACAAACACATAATACACAGAGTAACAGGAAAAGGCTTACAAATTTTGTGGGAACACAGGTGCACGGGAGTCAAACAAAATATAAAAAAATCAAAGAAGTGACAAGATGGTTGACTCTTTTATACCATCTTGAAATTACAGAAGGAATGCAGGCTTGGAGCATGGCGAAAGTTCTGGGAGGAGGAGAAGAGAAACCTGGCTAGCAAAGGAGGTCTTGTTACGTAGATGACACCTCATGGCTAGTGGCCCTCAGAGCCTGTGGGAAATGATTCTTTCAGACCCTCAAAGGTGTCAGACTCTCAGCTGATCTTTCCTAGATCTGGACAAGGGGGGTTTCAGAGAAAGCCTGTTTGCATCTGTTGTTTACTTCACTGTCTCCTGCAGATGCAAATCTCCCCTACTTAAAGACAGCTTTGTGGGGGCTACTGCTGTCTGCAGAACCTCTGAACAGCCATCTCAAATTATGTAAAGTAAATTTTGAGGTTAAATATTTTCATTTCCTTCAGTAGGAGACAAGCGTCTTCCAGACGAGGGAGGTTGAGGCCATCGGCCCCACTGCCCCGAGCGCTCTGTAGCCACGCAGGGCCGGGCCACCCTAAGGTGGGTCAACTCTGCACAGGCCTCACACCCTGTTGTGGAGACAGTTGTGGAGAAAGTGGTTAAAAAGCAGGTCCGAGTCAGGTATGGACGTTGGTACGTTGGCCTGGGCGAAGGCCAAAGGGTCAGGAGAATGCTGAGTGGGCTGGGGCCTCGGGGGCATGGGGTGACTGGCCTAGAGGCCCTGCTGATGTACCAACATACGGTCTGTGGGGTGTGGTGAGGGGACAGAGCTTGCCCAAGAGACCGAGTCAGTTTATGGCAAACACCACAGGACTCTTTGACACAGGGGCAGGCCAGGCCTCAGACAGGTGACCTGGGACAGGGCCATCTCTTCAGTCCTCACCACACCCTGCACAAGATTGTCTTCAAGATGGGCCTTGGCTCTCACACAGACCCCAGATTCAGGCCCTGGAAAGGGTCTCCCATCACCGTGCACACAGCAGCATTCTGGTCGGTTCGGGTATGTAAGTGAGACAAACAGGAGAGCGATTCCAGGCAACACTTACTGGGAAGAGAAAACAGAACCTGTAGTAGAGGCCGCAGGGGGTCTCTCATTGCCACCCCTACACCACAAAGGCAAGGGTCAGCCTGTCCTTGTCACCTCCAAATCCTGTTTTAACTCAACAAATAGGCATGCTGATGAGGGGGGAGAGGAGGGCAGGGCATGGCGTGGAGGTCCCTAGAGGCATTGGCTCTGGGTGACAGGGCTGTGAGCAAAGGAGGGCAGTGGCCCACCTGACGTGGCTTTCAAGAGGCTCACGCCGGCTGCCACGTTGAGGATCGACTGCAGGAAGGCTGCAGCAGAAGCAGGGAGACCCATTAGGCTAATTCTCCATTATTCTTGCCCTTGCAGGCAGGAGACGATGATGGCCTGAATCAGGGGGTGGCGGTGGGGGTGGTAAGAAGGGGCAAGTGGGTCAGAAAGGGCAGCTGACAGGATTTCCTGATGGAGTGGAGGTGAAAGAGAAGAGTCACAGGTGGCAATGCTTTGGGCAGGAGAAGCTGGAGGCCAGTTGCCGTCAACTGCGAGGGTGCCACAGAGGGGCAGAGCTCGGCATGGGCAGGCTGAGTTGGCACCGTCCGGCATCTCAGAGGTGTGAGCGGGTGGCTGGATGGACCAGGCTGGGACTGAGGAGCCAGGCCTGGGCTGCAGGCATAAGCATGGCACTCATGGCATGTCATGTTGAAAGGCCACTTCAGATCAGTGGCGGGTCACCCTGGCTCTCAGGTAGCCTCCCTGCTGGCTTCCTGCTTACAGGGTGGTCTCTTCCCAAATTCTTCCACATTCTCTACCCTTAGCTGGGCAAGGAGATCAGACCCTTGTTCCTAAGGGGAAGCCAGGTCCCCCTGCAGCATCTCTGCCCTGCCCTCCCCCAGGCCTGGCCCACCTGCTGGCTCATACCCACCTGTGTGCCCTGGAGCCACCTGCCATGCTCACAGAAGCACAGCCCTTGGGGACTGCTCAGGCCCTGTCACTGTCACGTTAAGAAGCAAATCAATCACCCTGTGTTTACTGCCTGGGGAGGCAGGGGGCAGACCTGAAAGAAGAAAAGGAAGTGGCTGCTTCCTGGCCTGCTGACAACATGAAAACTTCCTGCGATGAGAACAGAGAGCAGGTGCCCTCTCTGCAGCCCCCGGAGGGAGTGATGGTTGGGTACCGGCCCCTGGTCCTGCCCTGGGTGCTGCTGGCCCTCTGCCTCACTGCCGGTGAGTGGGAGGCCAGTAAGGGGCAGAGGCCACAGAGGGGGGTGTGTGGAGACACAGCTGTGGACCCTCCTGTCTTTATTCCACAGGGACCCCCGAGGTGTGGGTGCAAGTTCACATGGAAGCCACCAAGCTCCAATCCTTCACTGTCCGCTGTGGGTTCCTGGGGTCTGGCTCCATCTCCCTAGTGACTGTGAGCTGGGGGGGGCCCGATCGTGCCGGTGGGACCAGGCTGGCTGTGCTGCACCCAGAACTCGGCACCCAGCAGTGGGCCCCTGCCCACCAGGCCCACTGGGAAACCAGAAGCAGCGTCTCCCTCAGCGTGGAAGGGTTGGAGGCGAGAAGCCCCAGTGCCAACACCACCTTCTGCTGCAAGTTTGCTTCCTTCCCCGAGGGCTCCCAGGAGGCCTGTGGGGCATTCCCGCCCAGCTCAGACCAAGGTGAGCCTGGAGAGAGGGGCCCAGGGAGGGATGGGAGGGACTCGGGCATCTGCTGCCATCAGACTCCTTTCTCTCTGTCCAGGCCCAACTTCAGCCCCCATCCTGCGGGCAGACCTGGCTGGGATCTTGGGGGTCTCAGGGATCCTCCTCTTTGGCTGCATCTACCTCTTACACCTCCTGCACCGACAGAGGCACTGGTGAGACTGGGCCCCCATCTGTGTCCCCTCACCCCTGGGCTCTCCACATGCTTTGCCTCTGATCCTCCTCACTCTCTCCCAGGCCTGTCACTAAGTTCCAGCCGCCCCTCACCAGCCCCCAGGCACAGCTCCCAGCACAGGTGAGGAGGAAGAGGGGACATGCGTTGGGGGGACTGGTGCTGGGCTGTGAGCTGTGAGGCTCACTTGTCCCTCCTTCCCTCCTCCCCTCCTTCCCCTCCGCAGGCAGCCAGCCAGGCCTCCCTGGCCGCTCACCGCATCCCCTACACCTCCCTCAACACCAGCCTCTGCCCAGCAGCTCTGGATATGGCCCACCCCCACCAGCGACTGTCCTGGTGGGCGCCGCTCCCCACCCACACCGCGTGCCAGCCCCAGGCCCCTGGCCCCTGGGCCTCCCCTGCACGCAGCAGCTTCATCTCTGTCGAGAACGGACTCTATGCCCAGGCGGGAGAGAGGCCTCCCCACACGGGCCCCAACTGTACCCCTTTCCCTGACTCTCCGGGGCCCAGGGCCATGCAGGGGTGCTTAGAAGTTCGATGAGAGAGACCCCCAAGTCCACTTGGCCTTCCTCGCCTTCCCCCTCCCCCCGAGGGCCCTCTTCTCTTGGGCGCCTGCACCCCGGGCTCTGCCCTCTTCACACGTCTTGCTTTACTCCTAGGCCTCCAGTAAGTGTCTCTGCTCACACCCTGCTGGGGCCCACTGGCTGCGGATGTGGTCAGCGTGTGTGCATGTGTGGGTATGTGTGCGCACAGGTGTGAGTGTGTGAGGTGACAGGTCCCCACTGCAGGTCATTTCCTGTTGTGACACTTCCCCAACCCTCCCTGATGGTGTCAGTAACTACGTCAACAACATGGTTCCTCTGACTTGGGCCTTGGCTGGGCCTTTTCTTCTTTGGGAGTTAAGAGATAAGAGGAAGGTTAGAACCAAAGGGGGACGAGGCCTCCGTGCAGGCCTGGGGTTGGCCCAAGGAGCGGGCAGAGTGTCCCAATCTCAGAGATCTCTTCCTGTCCTCCTGGAGTTGGGGGTGGGGCCTTCCTGTCCCTGCAGACCTTGCTATGGGACACCAGGGCTGGGAAGATAGGACTGGGGGGTCCTATGGCCCCCAGGTAGAATGGTCCCCACTCAAATCCCACTATGTCCTAGGACAGCAGCAAGGGCTTCTGGGGCTTCAGCCCAAGAGAAGTCCCTGTGGTCCGAGCTGGCGTCCCTGTGACGAGCTGCCTGTGAGAGCCTGGGCTGTGGGCCTGACACCCTCCTTCCACAGAGTTGGCATTTAGAGGCCGGAGGTGGAGTCTGGGGGGCCCCACTTCAAATCTGCCCACAGTCACTTCCTCTAGCTCCTCTCAGGGGCAGGCAGAGGTCCTCACAGACACAGCGAGCAAACACACGCTTACCTACCCAACCCACAAATTGTCCCATCTGGAGCCAGCCCTCCTGCTCACGGGCCCATCACACCTTTGCCACACAGGACAGTGTGGGTGCAAGAGCTGCGTAAGCTGTGAGGCTCCCCGGGAACTCACAGCTCCAAGGGGCAAGAGGCAATGTGGTCCTGGAGCCAGGCTGAGGCTGCACCCAGCAGCCGGGTGAATACTAGTGGGGAGGGAGGTGCACCTGCCACTCGACCCCTTCCTTGGATCTACGTGGGGGAAATCCCAGGCAGTGGGAACCACCCCTCTGCCCGACTCAGGGCCCACTGCCCCGAGGCTGTGTCCAGCTGCAGAATCCTCTGGCAGCCCAGCATGCCACCCCAAGACCCAGCCCCAACCAGCCGCCAGCTCTGCACTGCATGGGGACATGGGGAGAGGGTGCTTACTGGTGGTGGGGCCTGCCTTCCTCTGCCGGGGGTCTTCCTCCTCCTCCGAGCAGCACTCAGCCCTAGCCTAGTCAGCTTCATGGTTTCTCCAGGACTGGGGGCTTAAGAGAGGAAGGGGTGCTGCAGAGGTCCCCAAGGAGGGTCAGGGAGGCAAGGCCCAGGGAGAGAGCTGTCAGGGAGGGAGGGACCCTTGGGACTCTGTGCAGACCCGGGACTGGGGTGTGAGACAATGGGCCTTGCAGGGTCTCAGGAAGCCTGGGAAAGATCCCCAGAAAGCTTTGCTTCTCTAAGAAGGGGACAAGGGGGGAGCTCTGAGGGACCCCAAGCCCCTCAGCCAGGGCCACCTGTCCACCATGGAGTGGCATAGAGCCCTTCTGGCCTGAGCTTGGCTTCTACAAGCTCAGGAGGCCACAGCCCAACCCAGTCCCTATAGAACTCGGAGGTAAACACCTTGAGCCCAGGAAGTCTCCCCTCAGCGGGCCTGTGCCTCCCTGCCCAGCCCCAAGTGCCATACCCAGCAGCAGGATGGAGGGGACCACTGAGAGCGGACGTTGTTTGCTGCGCAATGTCACATAGCTGGACCACAGACGCAGGGATCAGCGACTGCAGGCCCCTTTTTCAGAACGCTGAGAGAGGTGACTTGGCCAAGAAGAACGGAGTCAGCCCAGCACCTGCGCCTGCCTCGCCTCCAGTGGCCCCTGGCGTCCAGCACCAGGCCCCAGCCATGACCCAAGCTGAGGTTTCTGCTTTGAACAGACCTAGGTTTGAATCCCGGGGGTCACTTCCTGGCTGTGTGACCCCGAGTGTCTCCGCTCGCTCATTGGGCTCATAAAAAGGGCAAGGAGACGTGGGGGCGGGGGTGGGGGATTGTGAAACAGGGGACTCCCAAAGACCAAGCACCTCCTCAAGGAGTATCTCATTTAGGACCCACGCGCTGGCTGTTCTCAGGACGTTCGTCTGACAGCAGCGCCCCCCGGCCGGGGGCGCAGAGCCGGGAGGAGAGGGGCTCCTAGGGAAGGGGGCGGGAGGCGGCGCCGCCAGCGTGGACGAGCGCGGCTGGCGGGCCCGGGACCACTGGGGCGGCAGCCGGCGGCCGAGCGTCTCCACCAGGTGGCGCGGCTGACAGCGCGGCGGAGGCCCGGACGGTCCCCGGAGGGCGAGGGTCTGCGGCGCCCGGGAGGACTCCAGGCTGCGGCGGGGACGAGGACAGTTGTGGCCCACCCGCGCCCACGACCCCTGGCTCCGCAGCCCTGCCCTCCCCTTCTCACCGCGGCTGGCCCAGCAGCTGCTCCGGATCCCAGGACCCGAGCCCGACCACCCTCGGCCCCGCCCGCACGCCCCCTACCCACCGCCTGCGCCTTCCCCCACCCAGGCCACCCGATACCCCGAGAACCAGCCCCCACCAGGTCCGTCTGCCCCGAGCGGCCCCCGAGCCCTCTTTCTCTCGTCCAGCCCTTGCTCCCTCCCTGACGCGGCTGTGGAGATTGTCCCCAGACCGTTGGAGCCCCTCCCCACCCCGGTCCCACCACCAGCCACTGCCCCTCAGCTGCCACTGGCCAGCCTATACTGGTCCCCACGCAGCCCTGAGCAGCCACCTTCCCCTGCCAGGAAGAGTCATGCAAAGGGGGAGGGCGTAGAGGGGAAAGGGGCCACCACCTCCCACCAAGTGCGTGACCTCCTCCGAGATGGTCAACAAACAGAGAGTCCTCAGGGCCTCAACCCAGGCCACTCATACGGAGGTGGCAGGAGGACCTCAACAGTGGATGACAAAGACCAGGACCTATGGGGAAAAAACCTGACCCAGGGGTGTGTGAGCCAGGCCAGCAGAAGCGGGGAGCCCTGGCCAGCACTAGGAGGCAGCTGAACGTGGCCAGCGTGGGGCTAGAGAGCCTCCTGCATCCCTCCTGTTCTCTGGGCCTCCCCCAGGCCGCATGGGGGAACAACTCCCTGAGGAAAAACAGGCTGTGCCCCTGTCCCCAACACACAGACACACAAATGCATAAGACGACAGGTCTGTTGGCCCAGTCATGGGGTAGGGGGACAAGGGGTGCTCCAACCTGGGTTCCAGCCAATCTCTGAGGAGGAGAGGCCAGTGACACCTGGAATTTCCATAGATGGATCCTCAAACAGCTTTGTGTCGGCATCTGTAAAATGGGTCAACTCACCCAGAAAGCTGGGCAGCCTGGAGAAAAGTCCAGGGCCTGGTTCTTGTTAAAGAACAACCCTCTACCTGGGAGGAGCTGGGGGCAGGGTTGAAGACACTGTCGCCTGGCACTCTGTGTAACACGAGTCACATTAACTTCCATAGCAAAGGTGGAGGGGACTGTAGGTGCCCAGCACCCTCCGCCCTACGATGACCCTGCCCAGCCTTCCTCACCACCTCTCCCCAGGTGCCCACGTGCAGACACTCATGTCCAGGACAACAGCGTCGAGAGCTGGTGTCATGGCCATGTGATTTACAAACAGTAGAGACAACAGGACTGGGAGGTCTACCCCCCAAGACATTTGCACCCAGGATTTGCCACGTGCAAGTAGATGTGGGGTACCACAATGTCCTTGGAGGCCTGGCCCACAAGGGCTCTGCCTAAGGATATGTAGAGGGAAGGATTGAGGCCCCTCCAGCCTCTGCCCAGCCAGCTCCCTTCCCCACCTCCTCCTCATTTCTATCCTTTCTGTGTTCATTTCATTCCTTCAGAAGTATTTATTGAGTTCCTACAAGGTACAGGGCACTGTGCTAGGTCCTAGGATTACAGAGGTAACAAGTCAGGTCTCTTATGTTCAATTCTAGATGGAGATGGCAATAAACAGACAGTGTTACACGTGTTATAGGGAAAAGACCAGGGTGCTCTGGGAAGGAATGACAATGGGGCCTCGCTGGGTACATGACATTCAAAACAAGACTTCCAGATGAGTAGGAGTTGTCTAGGTGAAGACTGGGGAGACCCTTCCTGGCAGGGAAAGCCTGTGCAAAGGCCCTGAGGCTGGGACCACCAGGGTCCAAAGCAGGTGGGTGTGCTTGAAACCAGGAGAGCAAAGAAGAGAGGAGAAGGGAATGAGGTGAGAGCAGCAGGCAGGGGTCACAGGAAGGATTTGGACTTTCTTACAGGGGCCAGAGTCCCTCTTTGTGAGTTTTAAGCAGAGCAGTGGAATGATCAGACGCACCTGCTATAAAGATCACTCTGGCTGCAGCTGGAGGAGGCTGTGTGTGTGCTGGTCGCTGAGGGGGTGAGGACAGTCAGGAAGCTGCTGCCATAATTGAGGTGGGGAAGGGGGGTGTCTGAGCCTAGGGGGCTGGAAAGTAGAGGGAAAGAAGGGGGCAGATCCAAAATATGATTTGGAAGCAGAGTTGTTCCTGGCTGCGTGGAGAGAGGACAAGGACAGTCTCAAGGGTGACCCCAGCTTTCCAGCTTGAGCGACTAGGTGAGGGAGGTGCCATTCCCTGAGATGGAGATTGAGAGGGAGCATGCTCCAGGGGAGGGTGATGGTCAAAGGGTCGCTAAAGACAGCCCAAGGGGAGACGCACACAGGGTGTCAGGCCAGTGGTGCCTCTCCACCGACCAAGGGACATCTGAAAGGAGGGGCAAGATCTGGATGCAAAATACTGATGAGAGAAATCTCAGTGCTCAGTGAATGGAAAGAGACGTGACTTGAACCCATTGTAAGGTTCATTGTTGACAGGTGAATCTCCTGATATTGATCTACAAAATCAAAAATATTCTTAATCATAATTTCAGCATGGTTCTTGTGGACATTGACTAACAGATTTGATAGTTTGATTTAAATATTTTAAATACCCTGGGATGGGAGTCTTTCCCCAGTCAGGGAGGTCAGAGCATTAAGAAGGCAGAAAATAAGAAATTACAGATAAAATAACTGGCCTTTTGATGAATGGATGTCAAATAGACCAATACGCAACCTAAGGAAACACACGTAGAACACTTACATTTCTTTTTCTCGCCGCAGTGACCTGCCTAGAACCTCCGATACAATGTAGGAAGGTAATAAGAACAGAAATCTGGGCCTTGTTCCTGACCTTGACGGGAAGCAGAAAGAGGGTAGGCTGCCAAGGAGGGAGAAGGGACTGGGGTGGGGATGGATTTCACCAGGAGGAAAAGAGAACAGGAGCTTGGGGGAACGTGGGGACATCTAAGGCAGTGGTTGTGCAAGTGTGGTCCAAGGTCCTCACTCCCACCTGTCCCTGCTCCTGACCACACTGCTTCCCACCCCTCCCCCAGGACACCTGCTGGCTGGAGGGCTGCACTGAGGCTCTGCCCATCTTGGAATCATAAAACCCCAGCCCCCACCCCCAGAAGTCCCCTCTGTGAAAGAGCCACAGCTCCAGGCCGATTCCCAGGCCCTGTCTGTCCCATGGGGGAAGGGAGGGTGAACAAGCCCAGGAGACCTCACACCATCCCTGTGCAGATGTAGGGTCACACAGGAGAACCGCTAATGGGGATTCAACTGGGTCCAGGCCCTGAAAGTGACATAAAATGTGTGCCCTGCGTTAGGAAGACTGCACATGGCAGGTGTCCTGTGAAAGTTACCCAGAGCCTGTTTTGTAGAAGTTCTCTGTGGCCCACCAGCTGGCCCGTGGTGCCCCTGGTGGGGTCCAGCCTCCTCCTCCGGTGGCCTGGCAAGCAGGTGACTTTCCAGCCAGGTCCCATGGCTCGTGGGGCAAGGTGGGAGTGGAGCCCAAGGGTCAGGCCTCAGGCAGGGCAGGCCACCCTCTCTAGGCCCTGCCGAGACAGCCAGTGGGTCCCTTGTCCTCTCTTCTGCCCAGCTTTCCAGCTGGGACCACTCGGCCCAAAGCCCCCATGCCTCAGTTTCCCCCTGGGTAAAATGGAGATGATGTGCCAACCACAGAGTGTCGTGATGCTGAGAATGACGATGTTTAGAGCCTGGCTCAGATAAAGGGCTTCCTTGAACAAGTGGAGCCTGCTTCTCGCCTGTGAGGTGCACTGGCAGGACAGGGAGTCCAGGTGGGAGAGGGGAGGCCCCTGCCGGTCAAGGCCAGGACCAGGCCCCTTGGCAGGAAGATGGGGGCTGGGGACAGGGCTGTCTTGGCACTGACCGCAAGGGAGGCCCTTTCGCAATATGGGAAAAGAAGAAGCCAGATTGATAAAGGAAGTCCTGGTCACTCTGGAGGAGGGCAGGTTTGGGGACGGCTCCCACCTCCCTCAGTGCCCTGAAGGAGCCTGGTCCTGGCTCTCTGGGTGGACTGTACCTTCGACTCCCGGAAACCCCCGCCATAGGGCCCCCGCCGCTGCCTGGAGGGCTCTCCTTGTCTTCTCATCCCCTGGAGGAGAGCAGGGCCATGGGTTGGCCTCTGCTGCCACCCCTGCTGCTGCTGCTTCTGCTGCTGCCACCACCAGCATTTCTTCAAGCTGGTGAGTGCCCAGGACCAGCCTGGCAGGGGATCTGCCCAAACCACAGGAGGGGCAGTGCGGGGACATCTGAAGGAGGTGGGTGTTGGAGAAGCTGGCCAGGCCTCCCAGCCCCAACAACAGGGGTTGGTCCGACAGGAGTGGGTCCACCCCAACCCTTCACCCTCTCTCTTCCCCCCTGCCTGAAACATGGGAAACCCAGGCCAGAGGGTCAGCCCTACCATCTGCCACACCACTGCCTCTGGGGGAAGGTGCAGGAAGGTCTGGGGTTACCCTCTTTGTCTCCTACTGTGGGTTCCATGTCTCCCCTACACACACACCTCTCCCCCTCCCTCTCTCTCTCTCTCCCTCCCTTCTCTAGATGGCTCAGCAAGATCCAAGCCACGCTCTGACTTTGGGGTCATCCAACCTGAATACCTCTCAGCCCCCATCGGAGGCTCCATCCAAATCCCCTTCTCCTTCTATTACCCCTGGGTCTTAGCCAAAGTTCCCAGAGTGAATATATCCTGGAGACGGGGACACTTCCACGGCAAGTTCATCTACAACAGAAGCCCGCCTTACATCCGTGAGGATTACAAGAACCGGCTCTCCCTGAACTGGACAGAGGATCAGAGGTCCGGCTTCCTCAGGATCTCGAACCTGGAGAAAGGCGACCAGTCTGTGTACTTCTGCCGAGTCTATCTGACCACACGGGACGTAGGCAGGCAGGTGTGGCAGTCCATCCAGGGGACCAACCTCACCATCACCCTCGGTGAGTCCAGCTGCCCCGGCACCCTCCTTGCCCAGCCCAATGAGGCTTTTGGTGACCGCTGGTGTCCTTGCCCCTATCACATCAGGCCCACCCTTCTGCCCCTTCTCTCAAACTTCTTTCCCCAGTCTCTGACCCCTCCCAAGGCCTCTGCCAACTTTACCCTCTTCTCTTTCCCTTAATTATCCCCAAACCTGAACTGCTTTCCCTGACCACGGCCCCAACTATCCCCTCCAGATCCAGCTCCCACACCCACTCCCCTGGCCTCAGCACCTGCCAGACTCTCCCAGTATCCTCCCTGCCTGCCCTGCCCTCAACCATGTCCTCCCAGCCAATTTGGCTTCTCCAGGATGTGGCTGGCCTTGTCATGTGTCTGTTCATGGAGCCTCACTTAGCACCTCAGGTTGGCCACCATGTCTTATGTTTCCCCACCATCATGAGCTCAGCCTGGAACACACAGTTGATGCCCTGTGGATGGCCCTAGGAGCCCTCTAATGCCTGGGAAACATCCTGTCACCTGGTTTCCCATCTCCCCACTTCCTTCTCCCCCTCAGCTCCCTAGAAATGTCTCTCAACTCCTCCCCTGCCCCAGTCTCAGCTCTTTCGTCTCCCACCTCCCTCTTCTCCTGTCTCCATCCGCTTTACCCTCCTTGCCTCTCACCCCTACGCCCAGCCCCCACTTTTCCACACAAGACCCAGTTGTTCTAGCCATGTCATCCCTGCTTTCCACTCTGATCTTGCTACTCTGTCCTTCCGGTCACTAAGGGACACCTCTGCAGCAGCAGTAACAGCGGCTCCCACTTACTCAGTGTGTACAACGGCCCCAGTAAATAACTTTGTGTGCATTGCCCTAGTTAACCTTCATCATGACCCCACAATAACAGTAGCAATGCTATTATCTTCATCTGACAGAGAGGGAAACTGAAGCTAGTAGAGCCTAAATACCTGCCCTAAGACACACTAGTGTTGTGGATGGGATTTGAAAGGGAGAGTTTAATTGCAGAGCCTCTCTCTTAACCATTAGCTGCACAGCCTCACCTGTTGAGTGATCACATTGTTTGTCTGGACCTACATTTCAATCTTATAATGGGATGCGTTGCGTTAATACATCTTCCTATATTACTTAGTAGGAGTGTCAGAATTTGAATCTAGGCTTATTTGTCTCCAGGGCAATGGGGGCAGGGGGATTTCCCACAGGCCCAAGCAATAAGGGGGTACTCTGTAGAAAATGTTTTAGAAAATTAATAATGAACTAAATGGGTTTGCTTTTTCTGATCATTTATTTGCACTGGTGATTCTAGACAATGTCAGTGATACATCACTCCTCCCTTCTGGGCTGGACACTCTCACTCACTCTCACAGCCCCATCTTAACCACTGTGCTGGTTTTAGAGCAAATGGAGAGTAGCTCCATAACCTGAATTTAGCAAGACAGCCTTGCACTTACACTCCCTGGACCTCCTACACATTTCCTTCAGTGGCCTTTCTTGAGAGACTTGGTTCATCTCAGGCCCTCTTCCTCTTTCCCTATTTCCTCTTTGCTTTTCTCATTTCTCTGCTCCAGTCAGACTTATGAGTTTTTTTTAATCAATAAATTATTTTTAATTAATTCAATTAATTGGATATTCATGCCCATTATTAAAAAAACAAAATACAGGAAAGTAATAAAAAGAAGTGTTTTTAATCCAACTGAAGTACCACAATGCAAAGCTATCATAAACTAAAGGAACATTTGCAGCAAATATAACTAAGTTTGTAGTTAGCTTATTAATTTTTTTACATAATTTTATTTTTGTAACCAAATCTAATTGTATTTCTCCTTTGTAATTTTTCTCTTTTATTTCTAAGCACAAAAATCCCATCTCTTACTAGACGTTGAAAATATTTACTTTTAGGTTCTTAATTTTTTTTCTAATTTTTGTTTGATTTGATTTCTTCTCACAATAAAACTCTTTCGTGTAGTGAGAATTTATTTTGGTATATAACATGAAGTAAATAACTAAATTGATCTTTATACCAAGCAATTAATCAATTGTCCCAACCCCATTTATTAAATTTTTTTTCTTTTATCTAATGATACAGTAGGCCTGGTTTTTTAAATTATTTTGTATTAATAAAATAGCATCCATTTCTGGCCAGTCTATTCTGTTTCACTGATCTGTCTTTTTTCATATCAGTTAGACACTGTTTTAGTGACAATATCTTTATCACATATTTCAATGGCTGATAAGACTATTTCCATCTCAACTACATTCCTCCTCCCTCAAAAAAATCTTTGTTATTGTTGCCTGCCTATTCTTTCACATAAATGTTAGAATAAGTTTGCCAGATTCTGAGAAAGACATTCATTTGGATCTTTTAAATCACAAGACCTATGAAGCAATTGACAGAAACTGCAATGGGTCGAATATGCAACCTTCCCACCCAGAAACAGGTCCTATTTTATATCCCTCAGTAAACCTTGGTACTGTTCTTCTAAAGATCATGTAAATGTCTCTTAAGATTGTTTCCCTTTCTATAGTGTGTTCTATTATTAATGTGCAAGATTATTTTTAAATTTTTTAATGATTTTTACTGTAAAATTAATGCATAAATTCTGGTCAAGATGGTGGGTTGTATGCACATGTTTACCTCTTCTCCCTCCCAAAATCTACTAAAATGATGGCAAAGGGAATTTTTTAAGAAAGAAATCGTTAAGATCAAAAAAGATGTGAGCCAGGTATACAAAAACAAAATTTGGGTTGCTAGAAACAGATAGACTAATGGAACTGGTTTAGGAGAACAGAGGAGCTAAACCCTAAGCCAGTAGTGGGGAAACCTAGAAGAGTAGCAATTTATACTGCAAAATCCTTAAAGGTTCAGTAATGCCAACCCCAAGTTCCCCTGAAAGTGGAAGTAAAGATGGATCTGAAAATTAAAGGACCAGTTGAAAATCTTTTAAGAAGCAGGGAAATCTCCATTCCACATTCCCCCACCCCAGCTGAAGACTGGAGGTTTGCTTTCCAGAATGGATGAACCTGAGGGACTCTGGGGTGGGGGGCACCCCAGGCATAACTGGCAAGGAGAATGGGGTCCTCGCACCAAATACCCCAGCACTGAGGATAGTACCCTGGCCTCAGCTGTGCCTGAGAAGCCCAAAGCTAGAATCCCCATTTTTAAGTATTATTAAATGAAACACTTAAGCTTCCTCCATGAAACACAGCGAGCAAAACAAACAGGAAAAAAAGAAAAGGAACCTGGAAGAAACCAATCAATTCAGAAAGAACAACACTTTAAAAAACTATCATTCTCTTCTACTCAGAAAGTTAAGAGATCTCATATATGTGACAAAAAAGCATGCTTTACAAAGGAGCTTGCCAAACACAAAAAGAGTTCTTGGAAATTAAAGATACAACAGCAAAAATGGAAAATTCCACGAAAGGACTGGAAGATAAAGATTGTGGAAACCTCCCAGGAGGTAGAACAAAATATCAAAGGTTCGGAAAGTATAGGGGATTGAATAGCAGCCCCCTAAAAAGTTATGTCCACATCCTAATCCCCAGAATCTATGAATGTCACCTTATGAGGTAAAAGAGTGCATATTGCCTTACATGGTAACAGATGTGATTAAATGAAGGGTTTTGAGATGAGATTACCCAGAATTATCTGGGTGGTCCCTAAATGCAATGACAAATGTCCTTATAAGAGAGAGGCAGAAAGAGACACAGATAGAAGAGATGGCAATGTGACCACAGAGACAGAGACTGGAGTGATACAGTTACAAGTCAAGGATGCTTGCGGCCACCTGCTGGAAGAAGCAAGGAACAGATTCCCTTCTAAAGCTTCCAGAGGGGATGCAACCCTGCTGACACCTTGATTTTGGACTCTGGCCTCTAGAATTGTGAGAGGATAAACTTCTGTTATTTTAAGTCACCCAGTTTATGGTACTTCAGGAAAGTACCACAGAAATGACAAAGTAATACAGCCATAGGAAAGTAACACAGAAATGATAAAAAAAAAAAAAGATAAGAAAATTAGAGGATCCAACCTCTGAATAATGGGAATTCTCGAAACCAGAAGAAAGAAAGTCATGGGGAAGAGAATATCAGAGAAATAACACTAGCAATTTTCCAGAACAAAAGAGCCGAGCAAAATGGACAAAAATAAAAAGACCTACATCAGGGCACAGCAACGTGAAATTTCAAAACACCAGGCATAAAAAGAAGATCCAATACATTTCCAAGGAGGAAAGCAACAGGCCTCCGAGCTTCAGAGATTCAGGAATCAGAATGGCTGTTGCTGTCTCGATGGCAACATGGGAAGCTGGAGAACAATGGTTGAATGCCTTTCATTCATTCATTTAACAAATATTGACTGGGTGTCTCCTATATGTCAGATGCTAATCTGGGCACTGGGGAAGTAGCCATTTAAAAAAAAACACAGAAATGCTCCCAATGATGGAACTTAGCCTTTGGATGTGGTAATAACTACATGAATAAATTCTTTATTTGTGTCAGGTGATGGTGAAAACAGAAAAGAAGAAAAATGAGGTAGAATAAGTGGGAGAGAGACTGCTAAGGGTGCTACTTTTTTCAGATGGAACAGGGATGGCCTCTGCAGTATTAGGTAGAGTCTCGCAGAAAACAGCCACTCAAACAGGGAAACTGGGAGAGTTTTGAGTGAGGTACGGTTTAGGAAACCCACCAGGAATGGTGAGACACCCTGCAACTAGCAGTAGGCCTGAGCAGCAAGAGGACAGAATCCAGAGAGGCCTGGAAAGTGTACAAGGGTACTAGAGAGGAACTGTGGCCTCTGGAGAGATATAGTCAACATGACCATTGGGAGGGGGCTGGGAATGAATGCCCGGAGTTTGGGCCCCGGACCTACATACAGGTCCTCTCACCCTCCATCTCCTGCAGTGGCTCCCACTGGGGAACCAGAGGGCAAGAGAGCGCATGGATGGAATCCACCAAGTCCAGCTCCAAAGGCACAAAGCAGGATGGAGAAGGGCTGGGGAGTGGATCTGGAGAAGCCAACAGAAAGATCCAGCTTAGGCACAGATCTGCAAGAAGTGAGAGAGAGGTTAGAAGAAGAATGTTCCAGTCTAGTGGGATGAGTGTAGCTGAAGCAGAGTGGAGAGGCAGAGGACAGGAGGTAAAATCAGAGCAGGCAGTAGGACAGATCTTGTGTGGCTTTGAAAGCCATGGAAACAATTCTCACCTTCGCTCTGAGTGCAATGGGAGCTAGTGAAGGTTTACTGCCAAGGAGTGCAGAGATCTGATTGATACTTATTTATTTATTTATTGAGACAGAGTCTCACTCTGTTGCCCTGGCTAGTATGCAGTGGCGTCATCATAGCTCACTGCAACCTCAAACTCCTGGGCTCAAGTGATCCTCCTGCCTCAGCCTCCCGAGAAGTTGGGACTACACGTGCACTGTGCCAGGATAATTTCTCTATTTTTTGTAGAGACAGGGTCTCACTCTTGCTCAGGCTGGTCTCGAACTCCTGACCTCAAGTGATCCTCCTCTCTTGTCCTCCCAGAGTGCTAGGATTACAGGCGTGAACCACCACACCAGGCTGATTGACACTTTTAAGATTCCTCTGGCTGTTGTATGGAGAAAAAAACTATAGGTGAGCAAGTTCAGAAGCAGCAAGACCGGTGAGAGGTGATACGCCTTGGCTTAGAGTGATGGCAATGGAGGAGGTGAGAGGTGGCCAATAGTGAGTATGTTTTGAAGACAGAGTAGACAGGACTTGCAGATGGATTGGATGTGGGGTATGAGAAAGAGAGAGAAGAACCAAGGATGACCCTAAGGCCCTTGGCCTAAGCATCTTGAAGGATAGTGTTGCCATCTACATGGGGGGAAATGAGGGAGGAACAGGTTTGGGAGGAAATCAAGAAAGCTGTTTTGGACATCTTGAGATGTTACTAGACATACAAATGGAGGCATGAGTAGGATATATGAGTCTAGAGGGCAAGGGGAAAATTCACTGATATAAAAATTTGGGAGCAATCAGGACATCACTGGTATTTAATGTCGTGGACTGGATGAGATCATCTGGGAAGTGGGTATAGATAGAGAGGAGGTCCTGGAGTGAGCCCTGATGTTAGGGCTGAGAAAATGAAGAGGAATCAGCAAAGAAGACTGGGAAGGAGCTGAGAGGACCAAGGGTGAGTAGTGTCCCAGAAGCCACGTGAAGAACTCGTTTCACAAAACAGGGAGTATCAAATGCTGAAAAGTTGAGTAAGATGAAGAAAATGGGAGTGTAAGATCTAAATTCTTAATTTCTACAGTAGGAAGTGAATAGACACCACCTAAAACACCAAACCAAGCAACAGCAGTATATGCATGTTATTTAGAAATATGAAGTTAACACCAAAAGAAATAGCTAAAGTTGCTGAAAATAGTTGCCTCTGGGGAGTGGGAAGGGAGTGAGGAGGTACGTGCAAGGGGCTGCTCTATTTTATAAGCTGTGTGAAATTTGTTGTCTCTAAATTATGTTCCATACAATTTTGATAGAAAAATTAATGTCAAATTTTAAAAACGAATAGAAGTACTGGTGATACTTGTACATAATCTTAAAATGTTCAAACAATACATAAGGGAGTCAAATGAAAAATAACATCCCCCCCATCCACTTTATCTTTCCAGTCACTGCCACTGTCTGTGGAAATGTTCTTTCTTACAGATATAGATATATAACACAAATAGAATCAAACTACATTCCATTCTGCTCTACAACTTGCTATTTTTACTTAATGTAACTCTAATATCTTTTCATTTCAGCATATATATCTCTAAGCTTTTTTTAAATGGCTGCATGGCATTGTAGCAATGTCTCATAATTTATTTAATCAGTCTTCTATTTAAAGACATTCAGGTTGTTGCCACATTACAAATAACGCTGCAAAGAACAATCTTAAATATATGCCTTTGAATACTTGGGCAAGCACTTCCATAGGAGAAATTCCTAGCACCAAAATTACTGGGACAAAGAGCATGCATAGATCTTTTATATTTTGATAGACATTCCCAAAATGCATTGCCAAAGGTTGCACCAATTCACACTTCCATTGCGTATGGGAATTTCTCTTCGGTGTGGAAACTTTGGCCAATACTGGGTATTTTCCTCCACTCAGATCAATTTTAAAAACAGCCTCTTTCATTAATCTGCATTTTTAAAAACTTCTGAAGGGATCTTGGGGTTATAGTATCATTTTATGAAACGAATTAGAATTGGATAGTTTTCCATATTTCTCTACATTCTGGAAACTTCTATCTGGAAATTATATGTCCCTTAAATTTTTACAAGAACTTATCCATAAAATCTTCTGAGCTTGGAATCTTTATGGAAAGTAATTCTTTAATAGCATTATTAATTTCTACTTTGTCTACCAATCAGTTAAAGTATACTATTTCTTTAAATCAATTTTTGAAATGTTTGTTTCAAAAAAACTTCCCATTTTTCACAGAGATTTTTAAATTTATCACATATAATTGATCATACACTCACTCATGATTTCAGTAGACTCTCTTTTTTTGTTAGACTTGCTAGTCTTGTCTATTTTCTTGTTTGTTTCCCCCTTAAATAACCATTTCCTGCATTTCCTTTTCCTGTTGCTATCTGTTCCCTAATAAATTTATCACTACATAGTTTTTCATTACTTTCTTCCTCTGAGTTTCCTTAGGGCTGGATCCTCTCTATTTTATATACTTTTTCTTTGGAAATTGAATATTTTATTCATTTAAAAAATTTCTTTTCGCTGGACAAGTGTGGCTCACACCTGTAACCCTAGCACTCTGAGAGGCCGAGGTGGGAGTATCGCTTGAGCTCAGGAGTTGAGACCAGCCTGTGCAAGAGTGAGACTCTGTCTCTACTAAAAATAGAAAAAGTAGCCCACCTTCATGGCAGTGGCTGTAGTCCCAGCTACTGAGGAAGTTGAGGCAAGAGGATCGCTTGAGACCAGGAGTTTGAGGTTGTAGTGAGCTATGATGACGCCATTGCACTCTACCCAGGGCAACAGAGT